CCTTGTGCCATTATCATCAGTTGGCACCCCCGATCAGGCGAAGGTGTAATTAAGAAGAAGTCGTGGGATAGTCGTTTTTCAACAGTCGTAAGCAGCAGTCGTGGCATTCAGTCGTCAGTAGTAAAGTTGTACAGCAGTCACTAAAGTTGGTCAGAAGTTGCAAAAGTCGGCGTCTAAACATATTTTTAAGTCTTATGTTATTATATAATACTATTCTTATTGTTTGTCAAATACTCGATATACTTTATTAAACGATTTATAAACCTAATAAATCTTACATTAATATTATTTAAAATAAATGCCTTAAAAATTAACTGAAATTATGAGTGGAAATAGTTGTACAAAATATTACAGAGGACATTACAGCTTGGACAACTTTTTGTGTCAAATTTTTAGTTTCATTCTTTTTTGCGTTTTCCCTTTCTGTGTTGAATTGCATTATTCCGCTCAATTCCTACTCTTTACTCATTCGATAGCTATCACAAATACTTAGAATATATATAATAAATTTCATTGTTATTAGGAAATATTAGTAAAGTCTACAAATTCCAATTACTATTAACAATGTGAGTTAGTTAAAAAAAATGGTACAAAATATTATAGTAGGACATTGCAGCTTGGGCAAGTTTTTCATTATTTTTTGGCGTTTTCTTATTGTGTGTTGAATAATAATGCCCTTTAAATCCTACTCATGGGAGAGATATCATCCTTAGAATATATATAATAAATTTAATTGATATTAAGAACTGCATATCTTTATATCTTTTGAGTTTTTATATAATTTTAAATTTATATTTCAATATGTTATATATATATGTTAACTTATGGTGGGGGAATTTATTGGTTATGAGTACTGTTGCAAAAGATCGTTAACAAGTTGTTTGTTGGCTAGTGTGGTTCTAAGGCTTTGTGGATGGCGGTTGGTGGCTTATGGGTTGCTGGTTAGTCAATGGTAAGCAGCTAAAATCAGCACTGAGTGCCAGCTCAAGGCAAGGTTTTGTGCGAAAAAAAGAAAGTAAAAGAAAGTAAACTTTACACACCACACCACACAGCCATTAAACATGCGCGTGAACTTGAATTCATTTGCTTAACGCTTGCTTGTTGTTACAGCTCCAGTCGTTGTTGTTGTTGTTGCGGCTGCTGCGTCTGCCGCATGTTGTGGAGCGTTTATTGTCGTGGGGCGCCATCAAATGCCACTCAAATGCGCAACAACAGTAAAAAGCGCCATAATTATAACGAGGCGAACAAATGTTTTTCGACTCGCAGACACTCAGACATTCAGGAGTCGGCCGATGGGTCGTTCGGTCGGTCGTTCGGTCATATGGGGCGTATGAGCAACAAGGCCTAACAACATTTGTTTCTTTTTTATACCACACAGTCATAAAATATCAAGTGGATGTCAAAAGGAAAAAGGTTAAATAAAAACAGTAAAAACATTAAAGCGGAAGTTGAAAAAAACCGAGTGGGCGTGGCTGGGCGTAGGCTGATGCCAAAGAAGCATACATACATGCATATGTATGTATGTCAGGCTCTGAATGTGTGTGTGTGCTTATGTTTGTTTGAGGCTTAAAGATTTATGAAAAATTGGCTTTTGTGTCAGAGCCATGTCGCGCATGCAAGTTAAAGCAGATAACGTGGGCTATTTATGTATGTAAGCGTGTGTATTGTGCAATGCCGGAAATGAAATTGTAAGTTCATGACGGTGCACAATTCTTTTTGTACTTTAAAACATTCTTTGTACTTTAAAATACTCTTCATGAAAGGGTAAAGGGCATATTTGTTTCAAGATAATGATATATTCCACAAACAGATAAAATCAGTATCAGTATCACGCATCTTGTCAGCGTCGTAGATAATTATTGTAGCTATGTACTTTAGCATCGAAGCTATGCGTGGTGGAAATATTCATTCGCTTTACTTGTTATTTTAATTTATTTCCTACACTAATTCAGTTTAACATGCTCGTATGTATAACAAGATCTTGGTTTTATTCTATTTCTAACTTAAATTTGTAACCAAAATACTACTGCTGCAAAAAAAAACGGAAGGTGTTCTTGATTTTTAAAAGTAATAGGCTAATGAACTTAAATACTCTACATTGTAGGGGTCGTCCTAGAATTAGAAATTAGTTTTTTTTTCGCCCTCTATTATCTGCACATGTATGCAATGAAGGACAAGAAGATATTGATGGATGCGTATATGACATATTGTGGACACTCTAAGGGATGTATTGAAAAGGGAGCGACAATCAGCACTTACCTAAGGATTGAAGCATTCCCTTCAAAAGAAAACCTTTACGATATGGTAAAAATAATAGTCGAATTCCCTCTTGCCTCCAAAACAATGCTGACTAAGTCAGTGGCCTTGATTATTCAAAGACCCTTACCTTGAAAAAATTTAGAAGGTATGAAGTTATAAATCTAAGCAAAATGGTTACAAATCCACAAACTTGGCACTTGATTAGCCTTTTACAATACATTTCTCAAACTATCATGTTTTAAAACTAAAATAATTGGATTAAATCTTAGTTTTCCTATGAGGAAAATATTTTAACTTCTCTACTTTGAAAAATATTTGTGTTTTCATACACCTTTATTGATTCTTAAATGTTAAATGTAGAATGTACTTAGATTAGCGTGAAATTAATTCTTGAAAACTATTGTAGAATTGTTTTTCGAATAGTAGTGTCGATTAGGTATTTTGAACAGAATAAAAACTTGTGGCTTTAAATATTGAAAGTGTCCTTTATGTCAAGGACATTCGAACTAGAACGGCCTAGCGTTCTATCTAATATCATAATATTCCATTTATTATTCCATGGCTTCCGCCATGTCAAGCAGCTGTACATTTCTTATGCAAGCATTGCACACGCACCACCCAACCACTAGTTTGTCGGTGGTTGGCATGCCATGCGTCGGCCTTGCCTTCGTTTGCTCCCAGCGCCACATAAAATAATCAAAGCTGCCATAATTTTCAATTTATCTCCCGACGCAGTGAGGCGCACAAGTTGACCGCAAATAAACAAATGCGCACAACAGTGGCAGCAACAACAACAGCAACGTTAAACAAATATAAATAACTGCATAAAAAATAAAAATGAAAATTGCAGGCTAACTGGCCAACTGGGTTAGAATGACACACAAAAAATTGGGCGCATATTTGTGGAGGTCTAGAAACTACAGACGCGTCTAAATACATTTTACTCAATATACACAAAACAAATGTACATGTGGAACATATAAACATATTTACATATGTATGTGTACGTCCGTATATTTGTATGTGTTTCTAAATGTTCTTTCTATTGCACATTTGGCGCTTGTTTGCCCTTTCATGTTGTTTGTTTTATTTGTTATTGGGAATCATTGTGCATGGGTTGTGTTTTGTTTATGTTTATGCATTTTAATGGCGCTACTGCAATAGCAACAATGTAAATTTGGCAAGAGTACAGCATGTTAAGCAACATTGGCACACAATCAAAGTCAAATTGTGTGTGAATTGTGCAAGCCATTAAATTGAAACATCATGTACATTTTGTAAGTCACACTGGCTCTTGTTTATGCGGGAATCGGACAAATGGCTGCCAAATCAAAAATAGAAAAAGTCCCAAATATGTTTTGTATGTGCAGTGTGACCAGCTCTAATGTGATCTACTGGTTACATAGTTATTAACAATAGATAACAATTTTATTTCTTCTGAGTTAACAACTTAACGTGCTTATTTTATTCTACGGAGCGATAGCATTTAGTTCAGCAGCTAGTAAGTGTATGTCCCATACCTATACTTGTATATTTTAAATCTTTACAAAAATATTCATCCAACAATTTCAATTTCAAACAATACAATAATGTATATTATCTCCAAATCAAACATTGTCCAACTAAGCGGCTTTACTTTGGCTAAAGGCCGGCTTAACATGTATAATAAATGCCTTATAAGTATACTCGTACTTATCATAATTGCTTAGTTTTTTAGCCTAATACTTGTCTTAATGATTATTGGTATCAATGGGTTCAAACACATTAAAGGCTTAATGAAGCATAAAGCTAACTAGCACAAGAGATAACTACCAATAGCGTCAACAAATAACTGCTTAGTGATTTATTGCACTGTCCTCGAAGAGCAGCCTATTCTATAAGCCTTAAACACAGGTCATCAGAAATAGCTCAACAAATAAAGTGAATCTTTAATTATTATCCCGTTTTCTATAAATGACAATATTTATCAATCTAATACTAAATGCCGTAAGAACTTAATTATGCTTTAATATCACATATAAATGATTATTTTGCTAAACAATTTAATTTCTGCTTCAAATAACTGGCAACCCATTTAAGCAATGAAATGAAGACAGTTAGCCAAGCATTTGAAATAACAGACAAATCTGCAGTTTCAAATATCTCAAGTATTATTTTTATTGCGCAGAATGAAGCTAAAAGCGAAAGGCGAACAACAGCTAGCAGTGCCAATCACGGCAAGGACCAAAATAACTGATACAAATACAAAAATAGAGGAATGGAATTGCGTGTAAATTTAGCTTGTGTAATCGAGAAATCCTTTAGACCTGCCCCGATCACACCCACCATCACTAAATGCTGTTGCTGTTGTTGTTCCCGGTACGTGTGCAGGAAAAGGTTGAGTTGAACTTGTTGAAAAATTGGCGAACGTTAATCAGAGTTAAGCGTAGCGTCAACGGCGATGCCAACGTCTTTGCTGACGTTGCCGTCAAAGTTAATTAAATTACAAAGTTATTTAATACTTTGGAATCGTTACCGTTGGCAGCCAACCAGGCAGCTGCTGCTTCCTCATCGGGCTGTCTAGCTGTCTGGCTCTCTCAGCGCTTTGAACTTTCATTTGGCGCCCGCTGTGTGTGCAACCTCATTTGTTGGGGTAGGTTGGGACCAACGTCAAATCATTATATACCGTCACACCAACATAGCCATATACCCGACGCTGCGCCAATGTGTGGCACTTTTTAATGAAATGTAATTGTTTTAAATTAATTTTCTGCAAGTTTTTTCCGCTCATGGCGTTTTATTACATTTTTTGGAGACGGTGTTCAAAGAAGTCTGGCACAGAAAGCGTGTGTGGAAGGGAGAGAGAGAGAGAGAGATAGAGTATGGGTGAGATAGGGTTGTGTGTGTGCTTCTTGAGTCTTGTGGAGAATGTTTTATTACCAGCATGTTCGAGCATGTCCAAAACTAGATATGCTTATGGTGTCAGTTTTAGAAATTCGTTTCGAGTACGACATCATGTTTTGTGGCTGTTTATAGTTCAAAAGTAGGTTTAAATATTCTCATTGTGTTTTTCATATATGTACATACTAGTATTTAAAGGATAAATCCCGGGCAGAGTGAATATAAGTATGTGGAAAAAATAAAGAGAAAGTTCGGTGTACTTTAGAGCTAATATGTCATTAGAAATATATTATTTTAAAAGCCATTCTAATCGGGCATCGACCAATCAAGCTCCTCCAAATTATCCTGCATTTTCCGTTTTGTCGCCTTTCTCTTGCACGGTAAGACATCTGGTTCCGGGAATGGCGTGTTTACAGTGACGGAATTACGAATGGGAATGTTACTAAAGGGACTCAGCAGAGCTGCAATATACGAGCATAAGAAAATAGATAGAATCAACAACCATAAGTACATGTCAGTAAATATTGTAATAAGATGTAATAATATAAAGTTAAAGCTATTTTTGTATCACAAAAGCTATTGGCAGACTTAAACAAATTATTCACAAAATGTTGTCGGATTTCATAAAAAAGTCGACAGCAACATTCATATTCCTATTTATAAAAGATAGCCTACTAGTTTCCTAATACTTATCATGGCTTATATGTACAAACAATGAATTCAATATTGCTGAAGCCACATTGTTTGTATGAATAAATGGACGAGTAAAATGTATAAAGTTTAAGGAACGAGTGCTTAGAAAGGCACTCCGAAATTACTTAATGGTATTACTTATTTTTGTAGTTTTTTTGTATAAGACAGAAGGACGTTTACACCCACATACAAGTTGTTAACTATTACCGAACATTATAAGCATTAAATAAAAATTGATAACTTAACTCACATGCTTGTGTTTGCCCTTCAGATTCATAGATGTCCATCTCAAAGAGTTGACTGCATGGCCTTAGGGCGTCCAAAAAGGCTGGTTTCTTGGGCGGCTGTGCGGCCACCACTAAAAATAAATCAGATGTAATCAATGGGAAATTTCCTGTAGAAACGTATCGTTAGCAACTCACACAAATGTCTCATGTCGTGTTGCTTCTTAGGGTACAACGATGTCGTTGGCTGCGTGCGCAGATAGAAAGAGTTTAGAGCATTATTTATGTACTCCTGGTTTGTGGAATGGCGCTCACGCACTGAGACAAAGTCTCTATGAATTTGTTTGACCACCGTTGTCTCCTTGTAGGTGTGCTCGCTGGGGAACGGTGGAATGTGTTCGGGTATATGGATGTCTGTATTTGAGTCACGTTCCAACCGAGAGCCAAGCATTACCGGAGACTCCTTGAAGAAATCTTCTTCGCGCATTTGCGTCTCTTGGACTTCAATCTGAGATATCTCCGGTTCTTTTCCATAGCGTATGGGCTCTAGATCCTTAGCATCTATACGCATATGTTTAAAAGTGCGCTCCAAATCAAAGTAGCTGGGCACACAACGATTTGCATGAATCGCATTACTACTGGTAATTTGGGCAATGGTGATTATCTCTAACAGAGAAGATAAAGCAAGCATAAAGCAAGTTAAGACTGCAGACTATCTCACTCACTATTCCGTAGAGAGTCCAACAACGTATAGCGCACCATTTTATTTTCCTCAATGCAGTCTCTTTCCTTGAGCATAATGTCCACCACTCTGCCGAGTACTGTCTCATATATATCATCACCTGAATCAGATTCAGCCATGGATGTTTAAATCATTTAAATTAGTTCTGCACAAAAAACTCTTTTACTTAACCAGAATATGGCTTTCTTCAAGCTCTAATATTGTCAAAAGGTAGTGCTGGAAAATGAGAAGAGATGACAAGTCAAATCGTTGGCGTTGCCACCTGTGCGACAGCTTTTATACAGTTTGCTTGTACCAGTAGCAACGAAACGTTTATTGAAGATTAAAGTTAACTACCCAGTTCTCATGGATAAACGGACTTCAATTCAACAAACGGCGTTTTGTAATTCATTTCACTTACGTTTAGCAAAGCGTTCATTAAAGCAGTTCATAATTTCAGTGTGTCCTTTTTCTATTTTAGAATGTTCTTCTCAAAGAGTTATCAAACACTAGTATTTTATAAATCAATTAGCATCATTGCCAGTTTTCTGCCGTTATCCAGTTATCTATCGATTAGATGCTTTTGTTCAACTTTTTCGCTGCCTCTTTATGCTGCGGTCCCTAAGCTTCCATTGCCATTGAGTCTGTCTCCTCCTTCTCCTGCTCTCTTCGACCGAACATTCCGTATTGTTTAGCTTTAGCAAGCTTACATAATGTCTTGTCATAATGCCAACAACAATGGCAACTGAGACAGCCACCGAATGCCACTCGTACACACCCAAAACTAATTAAAATATTTTGCTTACAAGTAGAGGGGCGTGCACGACGCGATGATCTCGAGAAACTGCAAAACGGCGTTTAGCGTTTGTCTGTTATGTACATAATACTTGTACATACATAAATAGCTACTACAACTACTACTTCTTGCCAACTTAGACACGCATACATATGTATGTATGTATGTACATAAATACCTCCTATCTTGAATCTCTCTTAATGAGTTATGCAAATATTTGTTGCTGAATCAATTTCCAAGAAGCGAACAACAAACGCCGTCGCTGACGTCAAACAAGCCCATAGCCATGGAGCATGCATACATTAGAATCAACCGAAGAATGGAGGAGAATGTATATAGGCTTTTGTTCCTAATGACAAATTTCCACAGCCCACAAGCTGTCCAGAGACATGAATGTGCAGCATTAAAATTGTAATCATTCATTAGGCGTTCATAAAGCCCGCAAACCAAAGACTTCGGCGACGAGGTTACTGTGTCAATTGAACGATGGCCGCCAGTCATATATACATACATACATACATGTATAAAACATAGTACATATGTATGTATGTATGTACTACGAATATGCTTGTAAGCGAGCAGTAAAAATGAAAAACCGCAAAGCCTTTTTAGATGCAGACAGCCAGATGCGAAAGATTCGCGTCGGTGCCGCATTTGAGACGCCCAAGAGGCTGCAATTGAACAAATTGCCTGTCCGCCTCATGACGCAGTCATCGTGTGTTTGTTGCTGATCTTGTTGTTGTTGTTGTTGTTGTGGGCGTTCTGTAGCTGACATTTGTATCTGGGCCCTAGATCTGCGCCTGCCGCCTGCACGCCTGCCTGCCTGGAAGCGCTACCGTTTTGCATATTAGTCAAGCGCATGCGCACACGACGCCAAGCCTTGAACAAAGCCCACCTCGAGGGGCCGAACGAGAGTGCCTTGATGATACTTATGATGAAATTAATTCATCTAATTACAGTCTAACTTCGCTAAAGTGCTTTTTGGAAAATATATTTATTGAAACTATCGCGGATCTGATCAATGATTACAATCCACTTTGATTATTTATTTTTTTTTTTTTTGAGAACTATTTTCTTTAGGTTGTTTGGCTTGGCTCAGGTTCCATTCGATCGAAAATTGAATTGAAATAGGAAACTACTACTTTCTGCTAGAGATAACGGCGATGCTTTCGTATTCTATTTATTTCTAAATAAATAACATATAATAATCTTCTACCTACTCGTACCTCTCCTATTTTTCCAAACAGCTTTTGATTAATACTCAAACTATATAAACAAAGACCTATAAATATAAATTGTATACAAGTTTGTTATTATGGTTTCTTCTTTCTTTCTTTTTTTTTTAAACATGGAACGTTTTTAGCTATTATTTCTTTTTTGTTTACAAAACTTGTCATCACTCTCAACTGTTTTCAATAATCAATTATAATTGTAGAAATACAGGAAATTAAACACAAATACGGATTTGAATTTTTTACATTTATTTTGAAAAAATGTTACTATTTGTAGTTTAGAAGCTGTTGTAGAACACTTTTATCCATTTTTATCATATTATTTGAATTGTTTTGAGAGTAGACTTGCGCTTTTTAATTCACTCTGATACTGTTTGAACAGACTTAAATTGATAAGTAACTATACTACGAGTATATACTATAATCTTCATTTAAAACTTGAAGAAACTGCAATTCTACAATATTGTAACAGCAAAATACACTGTAATTAATACACTGTTAAATAACTCAATTTTAGCTGAACGGCAATTGCATTTTTGATGATTTTTAAACCAGTCTTCCAAAAACTGGTTTGTCTTAGAGAAGTTTAACTGTAACTGCAATGAATAGAAGCATCAACGCGTACCCGCGAACTGTCTATGCAAATACAGTAAATGTCGTTGTTGCTGTTGTTGTTGTTGTCGCTGTTGTCATTGTTTAGCTGCCGCATAAATTTCATTCATAATTAACAACACGACCGCAATGGAAGACAAGGAGGCATCCCAACCAAGTTGTTAGCTCGCTTGTCTAGTTGGCAAACAAAATAATTGCCGCAATTTCCAGTGTGGCAGGCGCAGGCGTCAGCGTAAAAGTGCAGCATATTTTCTTCTTCTCCTCACTTCTGTCTGCTGTCTTCCCCAACGCTCTCCCGACTCCAATTGAGCTGTTTACTTGCATTCAAGAGCTGTCTGTCGAGCTCTGCTTGTTGACCAGCTAATTCAAACGATTAATTCGATAAGCTTGCAGCTTAAATCAGTCAGCCAAAGAGCAGGCGGCTGCATGGGGCTGGACGGACGGATCAATGAACAGACTGGGACAGACGGACCAGAGCGGTCCATTCAAGCAGCGACAGTTAGACAAACTTGCACCAATTTGATTGAGCCAAAGATTACTATGAATCTTACTCGGGAAGCGAACTCAGGCAGTCGGACAATGAACAGACTCTTTCACTCTACATCTACTATACTCGTATAGTATCTATCGGTGTATCTGTCCGACTGTCTAGTGCAAATTGGCAGTCGGCTAGAAACAAAATGCCAGCAACTGCAAATTGTTGCAGTTTGTAGGCAGATAAATCTATTGCGATATTATAAGCTGCTGACCAGTCAGACTGGCAGGCAGACCTACAGATAGACAAACAGACAGAGAGGCAGACGGAGCTTTGCTGTTGTTGCCGTTAAGCCTACGCAGCAACAAGTCTGGCAAAAATATTCTTTATACCATGACTTCAGCTTCCTATACAAGGCATTTAGAAATAATGGTGGCACGATCTGCTTAAAGTTTCAATTGCACCTAAGAGCAGGTTGGGGTGTGGATTGCAAACGTGGCACGAGCTGGGATAGGTTCTCTCGTTCTCTCAATTACGGTAAAGCTTCTCAACAATGTAGTTCACAAACAAAACTTTATAGACGTCGTAAAATCTCTTGAGGAAGAGTTGAAATATATTTAGAAACGACATTTTTTTATATATCTAATGTTTAAATCAGATTCTTTGCTAAGTTAAAGAAAAAATTCAAAAATTTAAAGAAGATATAATTTCGTTTTGTTACTTCAGTCTAAGAAGGAGGGACCACAATAATTCTGTAGATACACAGATTTCCGTAGGCTTTTTCTATAAACCTTTTTTATACACTTTAGAGTGAATTACTTAGGAATGGTTAGTATGAATTACTAATGAAGAGAGATGTACGAATAGAAGTGTTTACATACGTTTTGCACGATTACGAGCTCTCTCCATAATGAAGAAGTTAAATGTGTCCATCGTTAAAAGTGCCTCGTGACCAAGTCAATTCGAATTGATATCAAAAGTGACGTCGTTATATTGTAAGCGGCACGACTTGGGGCAAAAGCTCTGCTTAATGGCAATGTGCGATTTAGATGTGGTGTGGTGGTTAGCGCCACATTGTCGCCAACTTGCCGCCAAATCAATGCATAATTGTGCAATGGAAGCCTTCCATTATCCACTCGTAGTACCGCCAGATGGCCCGATCTCTGGCCAATCAACTTGGACAGCTGACAGCTTTTAGAGCTACTATTACGTCTCAGCGCGGAAGCCTTGTCCAACTGGACAATAAAGCCCGTTTGTCAAACTGTCGAATTGAGAAGGAAAAAATACAACAGCCATACATAATTATTGTAAATTGTTATTGTTAAAGCGAGTTTCTTCGATGCGCGCCGAGTGGTTGGGCAAACAATAACAACAACAAAGCGACAACCACAAGCAAGCTCTGCCGAGTAATTGATGTATATTGGAAAAACATTTGCGCTAATTTGCAATGACAATCTAGTGATGATGTCAGCAATGGTAGCAGGTTACCGAATTTCTACTTCTGTTGTTGCAATTGCTATTTTTTGTTGTTGTGGCCAAGAGCAGCAATACGAATTGGCAAGTGTAGCACAACTTTGTGCGTGTTTCTATCTATATCTGTAAGGGTATCTATAGATAAAGTTGCAACTAAGCTAAAAGGTAGAAAAACTTGCAGGTGAGTTAAAATGTTGTTTTGGCTAAGCAGCTTAAAGTTGTTGCTGTTGTTGTTGTCGTTGCCAGCAGTTGGCAATGTCTTTTACATTTTCTATTTTCGATTTCGACTCAAACTTTGTAAGACCTTCTAAAAATAGTTTCGCCGAAAAGTAGAGTAAAGTTGTCAAATTTATGTTGCAGACAAAGTGCAAAGCTGTCAAGTTAAGTCCACATCCGCTTAGGTATTTTTTTTTAGAATTAACTGTGTGCCACAAGAAACAAGTACCGGGAGCATGAAATTGAATTTTAAATATTAATTATACTCGTGTGATACACTTTTTATAATACATACGGTTTTCATTCTGTTGTACAATAAATCGGAATAAAACAAATATTTGAATCGAAGTAGTTTTTGTTCATGCCTTTTTTCTAGCAGTTCATGGTTTTTTTTCTGCTCAATGAAGACATATTAAGGAAGAGTAAGTCTGTGTAGTTGCTACAGAGTAGTATACAGGGGAATGTGCTCATATATAAAGGATTTCAACGATTTCATTTCGATTTTAAAAAGATTTTGATTTCCGGGAAAATTGGCCATAGTATAAAAATTAAAAAGTTTTTCAATTTTTTAACATTTTCTATAACAGCATAAAACTTTTTCAAAACTTAAATATTTCTAGAAGCTCAAAATACTTGTTTCTAAATTTCGAACAATCTACGAATCATTAGATCGAGATATGTAGCTTTAAAATGATTCTCAAGCCCTTCTTTAAGATTCTGTTGTCTATTTGAAAATTGTGCTCCAGTTTATGGCAATTTCATAGAGTTTTATAAAACTCTAAAACTCTTAAAAAAATATATAATTATTTAAAAAGATGTTTCGAAATTCAACATAGCATATATTTAGTGAACTGGATTATTGCACTCAGCTTTAGTGGACCTTTGTATGTTTGTATATGGAAAATACTTTATTAAATTTGAAATTTATGGGTTGGAGCTAATCCAGAAATTTCAAATATGTGATCCAATCCCTCACATCTACATTATCTGCTAAAGTCTTTGTTTCAACAACCAGTACCCGCAAATTGCGCATATGACGCATTGCGGTAACATAGTTCTTAATCATCTCGCGAACATCAACTGGTATATAATTCCCTTCTAGCTGTGCTGGCAGACTTCCACTTTTGACTTCCACTTCCTGGTTATGTTTGAGATTTTCCCAAAACCCTTCTAGATTCATCCATTTGCAATAATCGCGAAGCGCATTGAGCATTATCTGCATGTAGTCTTCCCGTGCCAGGAGAGTCTCGCTCTTCTCACCGACTTCGCTGCGTGGCATGTAATTCTTCCACATCTTTAACCTGAACTCATTGCATATTTTCTCCGGACAGAATGTCATGCTGTCGGGAAAATAAAAGAGCCTCAGAAAATGATCAGCAAACTCATATCGCAAGTATGGCTGTCCCAGCTGAGGAATGGTCTTCTTAAAGGTGCTCATTTTTGTAGTATTTTCATTGCAAAATATGTAAAAGAACTTGGCAATAAGCTGGCGGGTTCGAGGGCCCAGGCAGGGATAACGAACGCCAATGCTTACGTATTCCAATTCGGCCGTGTTACTCAATTCCATTAGTAGGGAGATAAAGCTCTGTAAACATCGTGAAAACACATTGATTATTAGAAATAGTTTGTCAATCAATGTCTGTTAACATAAAGATACAAAGCTCTGGGTCCATTGTTGTGCATTATTCTTCTTAAAGAAATGGCTAACAATATTGCTCTCTACGCCTATTGTATTTACCTGGAGAATAGCTAAACGCGACTCGTGTAGAGATCTGTTCACTGCTCGGCTGTACAACATCATTAGCTTGCGGACAACCTTCGTCAAACGCTTCACAGGTGTCAGACCAAACACAAGTACCGCGAATGGTGATGTATCCTTTTTAAAGATGTCCGCTCCCACCTGCAATGACTTCTTATGGTGCTCCAGCCACATTAGGAAGTTTCGCTCAAGCACCGCATATATAATATCGAGTATATCAAAAATGCGCGCCAGTTGCACCGAAGGGGACATGATTCCAAAATCTTTAAGACTTAGTTCGTTGGACCACGTGAAATCGTTGACATGACGACTCAAAAGGTCATCCTTTGACACGTGAAGATCATCATCGTCCGAGAAATTAAACTCATATTTTTCATATGGTACTGTAAGTTGAGTCAATTCTTCATCCGTACAGTTGTCCATTGCCATCTCCAGGAGACTCAAGAATAACTCCAATTTCGGGTTAGAAGGCTCAATCCCCAGGAAGGAGAGATAATGCGACCTTAGTGCTGTCCAGCAAGGGGGGAAATTATTCAGCAGCAAATAGAAAACATTGGTACGATTATGGTATATACTTTGCACCTCATCCGGGTCTAGATCCTTTGCAATGAGTACCTTTAGAGTAAAATTAATTCGCTCGCGATGCTTAATTAAACCACGATTTAATTACTCACCATCGTTAGCTGAACCATTGCATCGAAGACCTCTACATGAGGAAAATTATTGTGCATAATAAACATCTCCACCATAGCTAAATACGTTTCGTATTGCTGTCCCTCCAACTGAATTTCCAGAGCATGCTGCAATATGGCAGATGGAAGTTTTGGCATCTCACTGTTTAGATGGTTGCGCTCGCAAAAGTTCGGATCCTGCTGACATTTAAACCACATAGCTCCTGGTACGCGATTCTGCAAGTTCCTGTACAAGTTTGAGACCAGAGCATTCAACATACAAGGTGATGGAGGTTTGATTTCAACTTCTTCGTTCGCTTTTTTAATTGAGGCATCAAATGGCGGTTCCATGATTCCAGCTGAGTCTCGAAGTCCAGTACTAGTGCTTGGACCGTCAAAAACTATAGCATTTGCCTCACTACTAGGTTTTGTCAATTTGATCGGCCCCATCATTAAATTGATATTGTCGAAAATCCACTCAAGAGTGACGGTTGATGGTTTCAAAGGTAGCTCCTCAGCCTTATAAATCAAGTTGCTCATGCCGCCAATACTTTCGCCTGCACCTCCAACACTGGTGCTAGAAACTGCACGCTCTGCTGTACTTGCCTCATCCGTTGGGGATGTCTTCTTAAATTCCCCCAACATACTGCATTTGCCGTCTTTTATGGTTATGGAAAAGCTAAATGTGCCATCAAGAGGAGAAAGACAACGCAGCGGGGCATTTTCCAATGTGGTACTGGCATTTCCAATTGAACCCGCATCGCAGGCGATTGCCTCAAGCGTTGAAGCGTTTTTCTGCGGCTCCGGCGAATTTCCACCGTAGCATTCCTCTTCTATTGAATTGTTTGCATCCGATGTCTCACCAGGGGTAGTACTTTTATCCGGACGCATCTTAGCAGCTTAGAAACCGCCGTAAAGATATTTTATTGCAGCTGGCACAGTCGATTTGTCAATTTTATTCGAACTACCAGCTGCGTGTTGGCGATCACAACTTTTATTTCCTATTTCTCGATAACTGAGTACTTTTGCCACCGATACTGCCTTTGCATCAGCTGTGAAGCTGTTTCTTTCAATTAGAAGTGGTATTCCTGCAATGGTTGAGGTTTCTAAGATGAACCTGTTAGAATCTAAATCAACCATTGAATACATTCGGCAACTCAAATAGAGTACCGAAAGAAAACTTAAATACATGGGAATAAACCGATACTGCCTGTGCATCAGCTGTGAAGCTGTTTCTTTCAATTAGAAGTGGTATTCCTGCAGGTGATTAAGGTTTCTAAGATGAACCTGTGAGAACCTAAATCAACCATTGAATACATTCGGCAACTCGAATAGAGTACCGAAAGAAAACTTAAATACATGGGAATAAACTTTGCTTGTTAAATAGACTAATATGAATATGGTTTGATTTTTTATTAAAACTTTTCTTTAGCATGTTCGATTAACCGAGTCTTTAAAAAGAACTACTGAGGTCTACTTGGTCTTCACTTGTAGCTTCTTAGGTCAATTGTAGAAATGCGAAATTACAATTCAACTAACAACCAAATATTGTGTTTTAAATTCATAAAATGTTGCCAAGACAATTTTAAATATAAAGTATACATTATAAGTGTTCCATGCTTATCAATTTAGAACCATTATGTTTAAAAACAAAAAAGCTTATGTTTACTGATTCATGAGAGTATGGTCTGTTACAAGTTATCTGCTTTCGGTTCGGGCTCTAAAATGCTCTCTTCCAGAGAAGGGAGAGCTTTTAAATAAAACAATAGATATACATCTAATTCTGTTTTTACACGGTTCGCACATTTAAAATTGTATATATGGTTGCACGACTTTATTCCGTTTAGCACGATTCAAAATAACATATGATCAATGTATTTTTTACACGACTTTTTCTGGAACCAATCCAACGTATAAAAACAGAACTTTGTGTATAGATATGTAAATTTCGGATATCAATTAATGTTAATCCCTATATACTTATTATAGTGCAGTGAATTGCTCAGTACTGGTACTGGTACTAGTCTGCAAAAAACCAGAATATATTTTCAATAACTTTTCCAAAGATCCGCAATCGGCAAAAACTCCAGAAGCAGCGGGAAAAAAGCTAATTCGCAACACTGCTGGCAAATATAAAGTAATGATGGAGCTCTGTTGTCTAACTCCATTTTCTTGTTAGCCAAGATTATGCGCGACATTTAAGCGGCACCCATCTGCCACGCCCACATAATAGATGTTTAGTCTAACTAGCAGGTACAAGCGCCCTCGGAGCACAAAAAGACGAAGGAAACAAAAGAGTGAGCAGTTCTTTTTGAAATAATTTCGGACTGCTTTATTAGTTTCAATTGCTACAATTTATTTCGACACAAATTGAAATTTATTTTCGTGGGCAATGCCCACAAATTCACGTCAAATACAATTTAATAATTCAGCGATTCAGAATGCGAATGAATAGCTTTTTCATATGCAAATGGCAATTAAAACTCAATTTGAAAGCACAGTGAAGGGAGCTATGATGTTGAGGTATGGCACACATTTATTAATTAAATTTGTGACGGAGGCTTTAAAAAGTAGTCGCACAATATCTCGTCCTCGTCAACGCCATTGATTTCCTCTGTACTTTCGATTAAAATTCAAATGATTGTGACTCGGGCAGGAAATTTATGCGGAATTGAAAAGCGATTTGTGCTTCCATTTTCAACAGGCTGTCAACGCTATGATTTTTCCACAAAGCAAGGCAAAGAAAAACTCACTCACACACACACACACACATACACATACACAGCCAGCCACATACACACTACAAAGGATAAGCAAACGTGAAGAGGAAAATTCAAATGAAATGCAAAAATTGTGCTAAAAACAGCATAATTACGCATTTTACTTGCATGGACAGAAGGCAGCAAGAATAACACAGAATTTGCAACTTCTCAGCATTTCCCCAACACAGCCCCCCTCCACCCCCCTCACACAGACAAAATAAAACAGTTGCACATGTAAACAAAATAAACGCAAATTCGCAAACGACAAAAAAAGCAATGCGAAGACACAGAAGGCACAGAGGGGAGGATGAAGGCGTGTAGTACCAGTTGCTAAAACAAACAAATAAACGGCATCAACAACAACAAGCTCTGCAAAATGTGCTGCCTTAGCAAGCAAATTATAAGACCGTTGAGCACTGGCGAGGGGGAGGGGGGAAAGGAGGACGGGCCATGTTCCCGTCAAGCGCAATGACATTTTCGAGTGGGGCTGTGGTTGCAATTTCGCGTGCCATCCTGGCCTGTATCGTCTACAGACATACGAGTATATATACACATATTGTTTGTACAAGTATATATGGCCTGTACTTTGTACCGACATCACATTGTTGTTGTTGTTGTGGCTATTGTAATGTTTGGGCCACATTTCGTTGACGCCTGCGATTTGATAAATTGAAAGCTTGCATTTGGTTATTGGTCTCTAGCGCCTCGTCTGCCGTCTTCGATGTGTCAGAATGCTTTTTGTTGACTTTTTCATTTCATGTCTGCATTTCGATTGCTTGCATATCGTTATTGTGCAATAAATGGACTTTGGACGCAGGTTGCATCAAATTGAAATGCCTGCATATTAAAGTATGAGCAGTGATTAATGAATTAATGAACTTTAGAACAAGTTTAATGTGCCACATTTCTCAAAGAGCAATATCTACAGAGAAAAGAAATATAAAATTTTTTTGAAGTATATAAATGTATTTCATGAAAGAGAATAAGTTATCTACTTATATGTAGATGGTAAGCTTGAAGCACCTTTCCCTACCCTGTTAATAGTAAGAACTATGGAGATCAGCATTCTTAACTTTCTTTTCGTTCCAGTATCGTATTTGTATTTATTTTATTACTATAATTAGAATTGGAATACTATACACCGAAAAAGTCACTATGCAAATTGTTATTATTCATTAATTTATTTATCCCTTCTTTGCAGCTGCACTCCCATCGCTTTTTGTCGAAACGCAAATGCAATTAAAGTAAGTTTTTCCATAGAGAATTAACTTTAAAATAATATATTTAAGAAAAACTTGTGCATTTGCTTCTTTTTCGTCTTGCCGCTCTGCACCTTTTGTGGGCGTGACAGCAACTAACCATTTAAAACATGTTAATTTTTTATTAGCCATTAAACTAATTACATTTATTAATGCAGTGCAGCAGAAAAAAACATGTGCATACATTTTTGATGTAATTGTAAACGAAAAGTCATGCAATTTTCCATTAAATGCAGCACAAAAAATATGAAAAAAACAACAACAATTGTTATAGCGGAGCATAATTCAAATATGAATTGTTGCATTAAACATTTGAGTCGCATGAGTCGGTTCATTTTGCTAATGCAATTTGAAAGCCACATGACCACAACAGTCGCCACAAATAGCAACAACAACAACAGCAGGAACCCTACCACCTACGCGACATTAGTTTAGTGGGTATTCGGTTTGTCGTTTTGGTTTCCCAGTCAATATTTGCCGCACATTTTGCGCAATCTACCGCAAACATATACATACACATATAAACACACACAAACGCCTTCTATTTACACTTTATTTATATTTACTGGCATAAAAGTCAGCGTCGCTAACTTTGGCCATTTCTCTCCTTCCCTCCTTTGGAATGCATAAATTTTACTCACTGTTGCGATATTTGCGCTTTCCCGGCAAGCGGCAAGCGACCAACAACTATATAACTATATTTATGTTTATATTTTCGCACTATCGCATGCACTATGGCCTGTACGGAAATAAAAAAGGGTAATACGTATACGTAGTAGTAACCACAATGCACAGCATAAGGTGCACACCAGACTCCCTATGAAACGAATCTGGAGAGCTGGCACCGTTCTTTGGAGAGAACTTGCTATGCAGATTCTCGTAAGTTCCGCTTGTTTGCAACATTTTATGACTTCTTTGCAACAACCTTCAAGTCAAGCTTCGTTAGCAATAGGCTACAAACAAATAAATGTACAACAAAAGACAATATTTTTAAATGCAGGTTAAATTATAAAGGTGTTTAAAAACTCTCTTATGCATATTTATATCCAGCATTAGCCGACTGAGTAGATCAATAGCTTAATTAAATATTCTGGGCAACTTTTAATAATCAAGATGTCATGTCATATTCCGCATTTTTCCTATCTTGTACGAAACTACAACAACACTTTTAATCAAGAAGAATATAAAAGAGTGTCTGTTATGGAGCAGAAGAAAATAGAAGAGTTTACATGTAATTAAATGTAAATGCCTTCTGGCTTATGTATGCTTGTTTTGGTTGTGCTAGCGATTATGTTATCTTTATGTTATGATCTCTCTCTGTCTCTCTCTCTCTCTCTTCAAGATCAATGCACTCTTGCTGTCACTTTGCACACAGAGCTTTCATATTCAGACGAGCTTTTTATTGCTGCACTCCCTCTTCGTCCTCTGTCAAATGGTTCTAGCATTTCAATTCTAGACTAGACTTAGGTGATTTAGTCGATATCTCCTCTAAGCATATAAGCTTAAGACTCTAAGGTCGATAAGTGTGTATAGGTATAAGAACTCTTAAAAATGCGGCTTCTCCTCTCCGATCACAGAATAAATACCTTTTTAAACATATTAGTCAAGAAGTGCTGTTGTGATTGAAGGGTATTTGCCAGTCGGTCCCATCCCAACTTACCAATGTGAATGTACACGGTTTACTGTGTAAATGAAGTTGTTGGTTTTTATACATCTGCACATATTTTTTCCACCCAACGATAACGGCAGCAACATTTAAAAAGAAAAACCTTTTTTAGCACAATCTAAAAAAAATTCCATACCGACTTTTTTTCTACTGCAATTGCATTTGTCATTGTACAGCTATGCGTATGCGTAATATTTATTTTATGTTACTTGAAATTAACAACTTTAGTGCATAATGCAACAATTTGTTTAACATACAACAACAACAATAGCAACAGCAAGATCTGCATACAAATGTTGAGCTTTAAAACATTTACACAACTTTTGCGAGCGCGTTAAACCCAAACGCGCCGACTTTCGAGTACAATAAATAATGCCGAGCTAGATAGCCCAAAAGCAAATAAAAAAGCGCCAGTGTTGATAAATAATATGCATACATTATTATTATTGTTGACCCAGCAGTTGATCGTAGAGCTAATTTTTTGTTTTTGCCGTGTGTGCAGGCACTTGCATTGTAATTTGTTGCTCATAATTGCAATGCCAATCATAAATCAGATGAATTTTACAAAAAATGAACGGGTGATTTTTCTTAAAGTGTTCAAATTTTACGTTTTTTTTTAATTTACGACTTAAAGTGATTGAAGACGGCATTTAGATTAGAAATCAGAGTGCACAGTTACGTGTAGCTGGAAGCAACTATTCCGCGACCGTCAAAATGCGCTCATTCATAATTCGAAGGGGAAGTTGAAAATTGAAGTGTTTCTGTAGCGGTTGTATTGATTATAGAATTTAAAAACTCTGTCCCATTTGTTAATAATTTGTTTTAAAAGTTTGTAAAGAATTACAATTATTATTATATGGTTTATATTTTTAGCAGGACTTGATGATTTTAATAAAAAAAAATCTATATTGTGAATAATAGTAAGTAATTGATAAACCAATTTTTAAAATGTTGTTTAACTTTATATATAAGAGGGAGTTTGAAAAAATGTTTATTGGGATTGTGTAAGTTTCTAAATGTTAGAAATGTTTGTAATGATTATTCAGAGCTCTCGAAAAATCGAAATTGTATTTGGCAAAATACCTCTGTTAGTACTTTTAATCAAATCTCTACACAAAACCTGAGAGATTTGAAATCAGTATTTACCTTGTTTTTAACTTTGATTATATACGAGTATATGTTTGGCTTGGGAAAAAGACTTTGTTTCAGAAATTGTAATAAATCTATTTATAATTCTAGATAACATTAATTTTGTTGTAAAATAATCGAATTAAGAATTAATGAATCACCCTCTATTTGGCCATCATTTGTTGACTAAGTGCTGCTAATGCTCCTTTCGGCGCTCTTCGTAGTAGAATGAATTGTTGTCTTGCCTGCGGTTAATATATGTATATGTATGTACCTAAGAGTGTGTGTTGATTTGTTTCTAGCATTTCAAATTTACGCTCCACATGGCAATTCTTAGTCAGCGCGAATAAAATTTGCATGCTCGCTGTCGCCACAGTCTGTCCACAGTCCGAGTGACCAAATTCGGTCACAACCACATTGGACAGACACTTTGGAAGTGGAAGCGGCTGTTTTAATTTTGACATTTCGATATTGATTTTGATTTAATTTGATCTCTGAATATGTTAGTGTGTTCACTTAAGAGCGTATCAAATGATGCGGCATTTAAGAGACCTAACCTTGGCATTTCACTTGATTGGCAGGCAGTTGATGGTTGGTTGGTGGGGAAAAATTTAAATATATATTGGAAACTGCCAAATATGTTGCAGTTGCTGCGGATCCGATCGGGGTTGTCAGGAAGGCACGATTGAAACCCGATATTAATCAATTTGAAGTGTCATCTGCTGCACCAAAATTGGCGAAGCAAATATATAGCTGTTGGAGCTATAATTTCAGGCATTAACAGCAGAGCAAACGCCCACGTGACACACACACACACACGCGTGCACACACACACACACGCGTGCACACACGGCCACGCACACACAGTCTGCTGCATGGTTCATAGAACGCATGATTGCGCAGACGTTGCACAAACAGCGCACACACAATCCGTAAAGTCAACAAAGGCGAGTGGGGACTAGCGAGGGCGACGGAGCAATTGGGTATTGAGGCAATGATGCGACTGGGATCGCATTGAGCCGTACAAAATGGCGTCGCATGCAAAATGGTGACTATAAATTACAGTTAGTTTAAGCGGAAATCATTTTTATGCATCACAAGCAAACACAATGCGACGGCAATGCTGCACGGATACAAAAAAAACTATTCAAATTGAAATGCAAAATGAAAAATGTTGGTTTTGTTTGTATCTCTGTCTGGGTCTGCATGCGGATTTCAATATTTTAGTAAGCATTTCGCTTCCTATTTGCATTGCAGTTTTGTAGTTATTGTAGTTGTTGTTGCTGCTGTTGTTGTATCTGTTTCATTATTGAACAGATGCAAAGCCATATCAATTCCATATTGTCAGACGATCAGCCTCATTTAAGGCCTCAGACAGCTACCAAGCTCCACACACACACACACACACACACACACACACACACACACACACACACCCACGCTCATTCGCCACATTGCGTATACGCAACATTGTTTTCCTTTCATGAAAATTTGCCAAACATAAGTAATTATGGCAACAAAGAAAATGCCATTATGTAATTTTAAATGCTGTCAGAAAAGAGAGCAACAATTTCCATTGAAAATTTTGGATGCATCCCCTATCTCTCGATTATTTTAAGATGAAAAGCATGAAAATCAGTCTGCATGTTATTATTATTTCTTGTTGTTCTCTCTTCTTTATTTTCTTTCTTTTTTGCCGATATTATTGTTGTTGTTCCTGCTGCTGTTGCTTGACACGCGCAAACAAGGCAAACATAAGCCTGAAAATGATTTCGTATGTTCCATGGACTTACCATGCAGGAGCCGGCACAGTGGGCAAAAATTCAAAGAAAATGTTGGAACAATTTTAATGTTTGACATTATTGCTTTCATCTGAATATTGTACTCTGTTTTTCATTATTTCAATTAGAACATCTGCATTTTTTAGAATGTTCAGCAAACAAAATCTATTTCCTTTCTAAAAAAGAGTTTGTTTGGACATGATCTAAGCATTCTTAGGCAACCCAGTAACGAAAGAAAAATCAAACATAAAGAAAACACATTTAACAAAATGTGTTGTTTAGTTATGCAATAATCTTTAAAGCCAATCTAAGTGATGATGTGATTTAACTTGTGAATAGATTTTAGACTGGGAGGGATAGGTAGTTAGGTTGCCAAGTTTATGGAATTGAAATAAAATTTCTAGTATTAG